ATGGAGCAGGAGAAAGGTGGGGTGCAGAAGTCAAATTCCAGACTTAATGGTCTGACTGAGACTGCAGGTACCCCAGAAATCATGGCCCCTGGATTCTCTCTCAGCCCAGAACTAAAACAATTTCCGAGGCCAACTCTTCAGACAGGGATTGGACTGGACTGTGGGACATAAAGTGATACTCATGAGAAGTGTGCCTCTAAGCTAAAGTAGATACAAGAGACTAAACGGGCAGCTTCTTTCTGGAGGTGAGATGGGAAGGCAGAGCGAGTTAGGAACTGGTTCAATGGACACAGGGAATCAGGTGGAAAAAGTCCAAGCTGCTGTCACAGTATGGGGAGAGCAATTAGGGTCAAATAACAATGTATGTGTAAATTTTTGTATGGGAAAAAATGAAAATCAGTATTTAAATATTAAAAAAAGTATGTCTGTTGCAATATTTGGGATGTACTTGTACTGAAAAATTATTGTTATTTATGTGAAATCAAATTTGACTTGACATCATATATTCCTATCTGGCAGCCCTAGGTATAAAACAAGGACTGTGATTTTGTGCACTTAAGGAGATGGAGAAAACTAGGTCCTACTAATGTTCAGCTTTTAGTTAGTAAGTATTTTTTAAAATCATGGCCCCCAAAACAACTTTGTAGTGGCAGAAGGACTTGGCCCTAGTCATTATCTGATTAAACTTCTCTTTGGAAATAGCATGAATAATCTCACTAGCAGTGGGGATGAGGGGAGTCCATGAGATTGTGTGACATTATTAGTAGGGCAAAGTTAGTGGAACTACCCCTCCTCTAAAAGAGTATCCTTGGGATACATGTGTTTCCCCTTTAAGACTACCACTGAGGATGACTTAATGTTTTTAAAAGAACAGCTGTATTAAGGTATAATTTACATGCAATAAAATTCACCCATTATATATGTACATTTGATGAGTTTTGACAAATACATATGCAGTCATGTAACTACCATTACAGTCAAGATACAGAACATTTCTATCACCTCAAACATTCCACTATACCCCTTTACATTTGATCTCCTGCCCTCCCCAACCCTCAACCTGAGAGTCACTGATCTGCTTTCTGTCACTATTGTTTTGCATTTTCTAGAATGTCATATAAGTGAAATTATACAGTATGTAGTCTTTTGCATCTAGCTTCTTTCACTTAGCATAATGCTTTTGAGATTCATACATTTTACTGCATGTATCCGTAGCTTGTTCCTTTTCATTTGCTGAGTCGTTTATTCTGTCTTATGGCCGTACCACAATTTGTTTATCCATTCAACAGTTGATAAACATTTGAGTTGTTTCCAGTTTTCTGTCAGTTATGAAATAAGCTGCTATCACTGTTTGCATGCAGGTCTTTATGTGGATGTATGTTTTCATTTCTCTTGGGCAGTTATCTTGGAGGGGAATTGCTGGGTCATATGGTGGGTGGTAGCTAATGTGAATGGAAGAAGTGATGAAGTAAAAGAGCTGAACAGAAGAGTTCAAAGAGTGGCTCAAGAAGACAGAGTAAAATATTATAAGGAAATGTGCAAAGACTTGGAGTTACAAAACCAAAAGGAAAGGACACACTCGGCATTTCTCAAGCTGTAAGAACTGGAGAAAAAATTCAAGCCTCAAGTTGCAATATTGAAGGATTCTATGGGCAAAATATTGAACAACACAGGAAGCATCAAAAGAAGATGGGTGGAATACACAGAGTCACTGTACCAAAAAGAATTGGTCAGTGTTTAGCCATTTCAGGAGGTAGCATATGATCAAGAACCGGTAATATCGAAGGAAAAAGTCCAAGCTGCAATGAAGGCATTGGCAAAAAACAAAGCTCCAGGAATTAATAGAATACCAATTGAGATGTTTCAACAAACAGATGCAATGCTGGAAGCACTCACTAATCTATGCCAAGAAATTTGGAAGACAGCTACCTGGCCAACTAACTGGAAGAGATCCATATTTGTGCGCATTCCAAAGAAAAGTGATCTAACAG